TGAGAACAGTACTGAGTCTTAAATAAAATAATCGCCTTGCCCACCAGGGAGATGAGAAGGGCGTATCACTGCTGAGTACAGGGAAAAGTAGTGTATTCAGTTGAAACTTCAGGGGTTGAAATCTTTCCTGGAAACTGAGTTTAACTTCCTCATTCTTACAAAACGCTCTATGTAATCTTTAAATAACCACAAGTGGTTACGACCTCCTAGTTATGTCTCATCAGAAAGAGGCAGTTCTGGTTTGATTCAAGTATCGCCCCTTGCCTGTTCCTTGGGCTGACTCAGAAGGATGCAGGGCAGCCTGAATTCAGTAAGCCCTTGAGAAGTCTTGTCTAGCTCCTTTGCAGGAGGTGTTTTTGGTATCTCACCGAATCAGGCCCTTTTTGAGAGATCTCTTGACTTGTCTCCTCATATAAACCATTTTTGGCTTCTTGACTGTTTTATGGCCGTTTTGTGCAATGGAACCTTTTTTTTTTTTTTTGCCTGTGGAAATCTGGAGCAATTTTTTCTTCAACAGATGGATCAGATTAACTCCTGGCACCTTTCTTCATCATTTCTTTTCTGCCATTGTGTGCACAACGGATGTGGGTGATGTTGAGCAAGAGCCATGGCTGTGCAGAACAGCATTTATTCAGTGTGAGTCATTAGAAATGAAGAGAATGTTAATCTTTTGACTTTTTGAGGCAAATGCTAAAACGTGTTTGTGTACTAAGTGCATCTCTTGTACCAACCGGGAAAAAAAGTGTAAATTTCTAAAAATCTGGATTTATCTTTTTCTCTCTGCTAAAGGATATAAGCTGGGGCCTGAGCTTTGGTGAGAGCTGCTAGACACAGCTGAGATTATAAACTCCTGGCGAACCGGAGCATTTTTGTGCTGTGTTTGTGCGGCACCTTTCACAGCGGTGCCCTGGGTGCTACAACAGAACAAATTCAGAGTAACAGGAGTTACTGTAACACAAGCTGGTAATAATAATTGTATTTTTTTATTGATGCTTATATCACAAAGAAGAAGAGGTTGATCCAGCTTTTGTTGAGCTACAGAACACTGCAGCATCTTACAGGCCTACTGAGGCATTACAAGTCCTTTGAGGAATAATAATGACAACCTTGGACAAGGCTGTAACTCAGTTAGAAGGCTGCATCTTTTACCAATTTACTATTGTTTTTACTTATAGAGAAGCAAGAACCTATGCTGCTCTGTGTAATTTATTATCATACAAAATAGTCTTGTTACAAACCCTAGAACAGGTACATATACTCCAACTAGGGGAAGGGAGCTGGCTTTTAGTCGGTATGTGCTGCCTTTTGAATTTCAGGCAAGGAGACCTTCAAAGACATTCAGACATTTCCTCCTTTTTAGAGGAAACTTCCTCACTCTCCGGGGGGATTTCCAGGAGAGGCAGGAAGGGACAAAGTGGAAAAGGGCCTATTTCAATAGCAAATATGGCAAGGGACACATGAAAACCAGTCACTTAACTCCTATTCCCTCCTTGATGGTGCAGCATTGCTGGGGTGTTGAAAACTACCTTATGGGGCAGTTCAGAGCCAAACCTCGGTTCTGAACTCCGTGTTTAATTTTGCACAACTGCTCTGACAATGCAGGCCCACCCTTAGCTTAAAGTGTTTAAAACAAAGTCAGCTGAGTGCCATCAGCACAGCCTCCAGTATAGATACACCTATCTCTGTTCACCTTCATTCGTGATAGATAAACCAGCACTGCTTTTTAAAACATAAGTTCTTCTGTGCCTTTGAAACCCTGTTTTGAGTCTCTGCACACTCGCAGGCTAGTATTGATACCAACCGATGGGAGTAATCGTGGGGTTTTCTTTTGGTGGACACTAGCCGTGGCTAGATGGGTGCTTACCACTTTCTGGTCCACTTCAGAAACTTGTAGTAGCCACTCAATATCCAGACTTTTTGGCTCCAGGAGGCCCAGACGGTGGTGACAGGGCAGAGTAACGTTTTCTTCAGCCACCCTCTTAAATTCTGTCTGAGCCTCAGACACCCAAATGTAGCAGAAAGCTGAAGGACAGAAATCAACAGTCAGTGACCAAGATTAACAATATATCTCCAAACCGATAGGTTCACTTGGGTCAGATTTCACCAGAGTGTTCCTCACTTGCATCAAAGAAAATGCAGTAGCTTTGCTAGTGGACCTATTGCAGTGGATTAAAAAGGGCACCTCGAAATAGCAGGTTGGAGTCACCCCCGTGTTTCAGCCTGAAGAACAGAAGGCTTTAGTCTCCAGATTTCTCAATATCAGATTCAAAGGAAGCTTTGATTAAAAAATGAATACCCAAATCAAAATAGTCTCACCACCCCCTGAATGCTTTGCCCCAACATGCAGTGTCTTATATGCACCTGCTATCTACAAAGCACTTATTCATTTGCCAGACTTTTATCAGCCAAACTGGTCACCAAAGCACGGCATTAGGAGATTACCTAATTCTAAGGAATTAGGCGATTAGGAAATTAATTAGGAGATTACCTAATTCTAAGGAACGGGCTCAGTCTGCAGCTCTGGAAATAAAAAGTCAGGTTGGGATATAGAAGTCCAGTCTTACGTATGGGAGGCATGGCACAGCACAGCTAGGTTAGTGAATTGGTCCTGAATCGTAGTTTTCATGAATTATAGGTTGGCATAAAAAGAGAGTTTGCTGTAAAAATATGCCACCTTGAACCACTAGAGGGAATCAGATCCTTAGCTATATTTCAGATCAAGTGAAAGGAAGGCACAAGAACAGCCCTGCGAGAGCATATGCAAAACATTATGTTTCGAAAGTCCGTTGTTAATAGCACAACTCCCTGCGTCATCATGAAACTCAGCTGCTTTAGGGTTACCCTGTGAACATGAAAGCCCGCCCTGTTCCAGTGAAATGTTGCGTGTGTGTGTGGGCTCTTTTCCCGGTACTGAGTCACTTTGAAGGTTGGCACTGAAACCATGCAAATCACACGGCCTTGATCGGAAATGGATCGCTAGATGCTACTTTGGATTTTGATTCGGACTGCCCCACATTCAGAGGTCCTGGGAGAATGCTTGGCTGTCTTTAGCTCTGACAATGAAATTAGTCAGAAATACCATTTTTTTCCCCTCTTTTTTCACATGAAGCTTTGGGGTCTGTTTGAACATAATTTTCAAATAAAAAATTGGGTACACTACACTGCTTGTGGATTAGCCAGCCGCTTCCAGAGATCGTTGTTAAATACAAAGGATGGCAGAAAGATATAGAGCACATGGAGGGAATCTTACATTTTCTGAAGGCAAAAACTCCAGTTGCATTTTACCTTAGTGATGCACTTTGCTCTCAGGGGTCGGTCACATCACTGCGAATTACCCATGTGTTTAAAAAGCACGTTAAACAGTCAAACACTTACACAGTGGTGCCACTCAATAATTATATGAATCATACAAAAGGCGTGACTTTTGTATGCCACGACTTTTGCCATACAAAAGTCGTGGCATACAAAAAGAAACTTAATAACTTGCTGAATCTCTTCAATGAGCTAAATTAAAAACTATGCATATCCTGTAAAATCTCTGCCCCGTGGGTGAAATCATAATTTTTATGCCTAGTTACTCAGTCACAGGCTCGCCCCAACTGCCCTTAGTATTCCTTTTACATAGATTTTTCCTTTATTTTCCTTGAAAGACCCTAGGACAAGAAACCAGATAAGTAACCCACAAGCAGGCTAAAGGCAACTCCCTCTCTTTTATGCTCTTGTTTTCTCCCCTTTGCTGCCATAAACTTTAAAATTGGGTGGCATTCTCACCTTTGCTGCCATAAACTTTAAAATTGGGTGGAGTCTTACTATAATTTTGCCTCCCCCATGCTGCTCTCTGCAAGAGCTAACAAGCCGTGTATCAGTCATGCTGGCTAGTTTCTTTAAAGGGAAAATTATTTTCAATTTATAGCAGAATTCGCTGGTGTCAAAGCTTCTAGTGACTACAACAAGGTCACTTTTTTTCCATCTGCCAAGTGCAATTATTTATTCCTTCTAATTATTAATGCCGCCTTTCTGCTGTGGCCCCAATTGCTGGGGGGCTCCTTTAATTAAGGCACTAACACTCACTAGGTGACTAAACAATTAGCTTAATTGATCTGCCACTACAATAATTGTTCACACAGCACTGACTAAATTCCCAAAGTCCTTTGCCAGCAAAGTACTACTTTGTGTATAGTCAAGTTTGCATTCTCTAGCATTACAACACCTGGTTTTTGATGCTTTCAAAGTCCTGGGCAGGAATATAGAAGGGAGATCCTTAGCTGTCCACATTTTCCAGGTGCATGAGCACTTCTTTCCTTCCTATCCGGTTCGGGTTGGGAGAGAGAACATGGGAGTTCTCTGCCAGGATGTGGATCTCCCAGTTGGTGATGGGATGCATTCAGAAGATACAATGGGCAGATGTTTCAAGACAGGCCTTTGATTTTGGAGGCCTTTAACTCTTGGGTGTCTGATCTGAGATGCACTGGAACTGATGCACTTTTGTCCTGCACCTTGTCAAGTGCCTGGGCCGACTGATTGCAAAGTAGCAGCAAAATCCTGCCAGTCTGAATGAAAGAGCTTTTTTACCCCCTTTCCACTGATTCCAGACTGTTTGCACAGCTGTAAATCCCTGGAAAGATGAAGAAGGCTCCATGTCTGAAGACCCAAACATTTAAGGCCTAGTTTTAAAATGATGGCTGTAGCTCACTGGCAAACAGGCCTCACACACTTCCTAAGACCTAGGCACAGTCTCAGACAGAAGCACCATGAATACTATGAAGTAAGATGTGGGTAAATTAATAATTTATCTCACTGATGGAAACAGGCACTAAAGACTGAGCCTAAGGATCTCATGGATTAGTTTAATGATTCATTACTGGGTAAAGAACAAGACTCCTTTTAAGTTTCCTACAGCATACAGTGAGTGCAGGCAGGCAGCAAATAGAGAGATGAGATCAAATGAAACCTGATTTTGCCAATTAACATTTTAAGCTGCATATTAAAAACAAATCTGACTGAAAAGGGCGGGTGATGCCTATGGCCCTTCCTAATCTTTTGCGTGGGTATCTCTGGGCTGATAAGATCGAACGTGTACTATTTTACTAGCACCTGCTTAGTATACAGTGCTGTAGTAAAGCTAAGCAATGTATGAGCAATGGGCCGCTACACTGTGCTTCCACGGCTTCTTACGAGACTATCAAGCCACACGAGGGCAGATTCCACCAGTATAAAATGTGTGGTGCCCTGACGATGTAGATTAACAAGTTCTTACAGTATGGGTGGACAGAATATGGCCCGCAGGTCATATCTGGTCCGCCAACTGATTGGGGTCACTTGCCAATCGATCGGATCTGGCCTGCAGCTGCCCCTGCAGTGCTCCGTGTGGGGCTGAGCCCCATTCAGGGCAGCCGGCACCTTGCCAGCACACACAGCTTACCAGTGGGGCTGCTCCCAGAGTAGCTGCAGGTGCCTGGGTACTGCTCAGCTCCCCTCACCTCCAGGGGTGACTCCTCCTTCTGCACCACTCCTGGCGGGGAGGAAGCTTCAGTCGGGTGGCTCCTACCCCAGGGCGTGGGACTCCGGCTCCAGCTCCTGGCTCCCACCAAGAGCATGAAGTGGGTGGAAGGCAGCCTGGAGCCCCACGTGCTGGGGCAACAGCCACCCGGCTGAAGCTTCCTCCCCACCTGGAGTGGTGCAGCAGGAGGAGCCATGGCTGGAGGCAAGGGGAGCCAAGCAGCACCCGGGTGGCTGTAGCTGCACCGGGGGCAGCTCTGCCAATAAGCTGTGTGAGCTGGCTGGGCCTGGGCGACCAAGGCTGGAGCCGGGCAGGGCTCAGCCCCATGTAGAGTGCCGTAAGGGCAGCCATGGACTGCAATGCCTGAATGAGCTCCCCTGCACATGCCCCCTCCTCCTTCCCCTTACCCCTCCGCTAGCTCCTGGGACCTAGCACCCCCCCTACACCCCTTTCTACACCTCCCTCCACCACCGCAGGGACCGCCCTGCAACCCTGCCCCATGATCCTGGCCTTGCTAACCCCCCTCACTCCTGAACACCGCTCCCCCCCAACCCACCCGAGGCCCCGTACTACATAGGGAGTTTTGGAGAGTTGTTGCAGCCAGGGGGGCCGAGGGATATGGGGTGCTGACCTGGCCTGTGCCAACTCATCAAAACTCTTTTTGTGGCCCCCAGGACCAAAGAATTGCCCACCCCTGTCTTACAATCCCATCTCCTACAGAGTCGATATGCAGGGTCTGAATCATACACCTCACCCAAACAAGACACCCACTGCCCCAAGGTCCCCCATGAACCCTGGCGTCCTGTGGCGGTCCTCATTCCAGATTTGCACAGTCCTGACTCACACCAACTCCCACAGATGCCCTGGGAGGTTTCATCTTTCTGAGCAAGAACCATGAGTCTGATGCAGTTTGGTGATTCCTATATTGCACAAGCTTTGACTCTTATGTCTTGGCTCAGAGTCTGTAAAAATGAGCTTGCTGTGTAGCCCCCAGGCTTGCTGATGTGTCACTTAGCACACTGTAAAACTGTACACTTGGCTCTATATTTTTGGTGAAAGAGCTGTAATACTGTATTTAAACGCTTGTACTTGTACTGAAAGACGACGACTTGGTCACTCCCCACACAGGCCGTGCTGATGAAAGGAGATTTCCTTTTTCATCCCAGGCTAATGTTTTTGTGTTAAAATGACTACTATTTAACACAACTATGTAATATACTGGAGAGTTACCTGTTCCATAAGGGTACTGTTAATCTGAAAATCAGAAACAACTTTTTTATTTTAAAAACATTGAGCGCCAGTTGCTTATGCCCACTAGGATCTTGCTCTTGAACCAGTTCCCTGGGCTGAAGCCAATGTTTTCAAAAGTGACCCTTAATTTTGAATGCCTTGGTTTTTGGGTGCTCAGCTTGAGGCAGTTGAAAAGGCCTGATTTTCAGGAAAATATCCATCTTCTTGAAGGTTTTTCAGGATATCATTCTCTCCTGAAATCAGCAGGATGACTAATGGAGCACCACCACGC